TTTTATAAGCAGGATTGACCTCTCTAACCAATCAGAGTTTTTCAATTATTTCTGTTTGATCAGTAAGTTTTGTTGCATTCTCATTTATTCTAATTTCATCACATCACAGTGCAGCATAGTGGAGCAGGGCGAGGGAATGCCATGTGGAGCAGAGTGGATTGCTACCCTACGTTACAGTGCATACTGTAGCTTTAAATAGACAGTATTAAAAATTGGGGAAGGGGAGGGCTGGGCAAAGTTAATTTCCCCAGCATGGTGTCTGTAACATCAGTAAACCAAGCTAGTCTTTGATATTTTTTCCAAGATATAAAAAGGATCAAATAAAAAGAAACAGAATCAAGAGAGAACTAAATCTGGCATTGGCAAGCTCAGAGTTGTTGGACAGTGCTAATGTAAAAGTTTTCACAGTGAGAACAAATAATGCTCATGGCGTTTGTGAGGCTGTCTTCATTCTGTGAGCTTCCATAACACACAAAAGAAAGTGAAATGTTCAAGTGAAATTAATGCCATGTTCATATTCATGGAGCTGCCTGAGATGGTGAAAGTGGGTGGCACTGACATCATAATAGGAGAGGTTTAAACTCTGACTCAAAACTCAGAAAAAATCTGACCTCCCACCCAACACTCTCATGTTCCCTGTCTCCTCACTGCTGTCGTCCCTGCTCTTCCTGCCATGCAGTGCAGACCAGCAGGCATCAATCTCTGGCCAACTATTCCTCCTCTTTAGTGACAGTGGGCTGACAGATGCAGAATTTGTCACAGGCTTTCATAGCACTGACCTGTCACGCCTCAGTCTCCTTTCTCCCATAAAAAGGAGGGGTGAATGATGGAAAGTTTAGGTGGAGGCATGAGAGGAAGAGCGAGGAGGAGGGTGGGAGTGTCAGACTCATACAGCATGCGTAACAACCGAGTACGCCTTTCCACATGCATCATTACGTCTATCTCCCTCTGACAGTCTCATCTTAGGCCAACGGAGAAACACACCAACACAAACAAACACACATCTATACAAAGACATAGACTGGCAAGTGCTGCAGAAGTTGACTATCAAAGCTAGGAAAAAATAAATAAAAATATCGCACCCTGATGCTTCAGACTCCAGCTCATACGAAGAAGGTCACACTGGCAGGACAGACTCCAGTTAAGAATCCATCTAAGGGACATTCCCAAAAAAGCACATAGTGCTGACATGCATGCCCACTCAGAGAGCACCATATGCCAGCCACGTTCACACACACTTCAGTTAGATGTACATGCACACACACACACCTCGACCTTTAGAGGGAAATTCTCAAACTCAGAAATATTGGCTGGCAGCTTTATTTGAGCGCTATCATGCATTATAAGATGTAAGCTATCAAACCCTGTTCTCCTTTTTCTGGCTTAAGCCTGATTCTATAGTCCTACATTCTGAACATGTAGCTCAAATGATGCTTTACATAATTGTGTCCAAAATCAATTTTACATGCTTGTATTTGTCATACTGTCATATATACCAATAACCACAAAGATTTTATTATACAGTATGTATGTGATTTCATTTCGCCCAGCTCCATAATGTGACAATATTTTAGGGAGCACTAAAGAATATCATTTTATTGTCCATCAAGATGGATAATTGCTTTGGCCCATCTGGCAATTCATTAAAACTGCACACAACACATAACAGCACAGTGTTAATAAAATACAGCACACAATTTTAGGCAGAGAAAAAAAAATTAAAATATAGTCTCTGAGAACTGAGCAAGTCAGCATGATTTCAAATTAAAGTTTGGTCAATAATTATATTTCAGGTGATATTTACTTAGAGAAAATTTTACAGATTTTATATATTTTCTGATTCAGTCAGTCTGATGATGTGCTATAAATAACTCGGCTAATATGTGAACCTGACTCACTGAGATCAGTAGCATATTTTTAACTACTTCAGTCTCTAAGAAATTATTTCAATTTTCCCCAAAAAGTGTTAAAAAATGTTCTTTGCACTGAAGTGTCATACTGCAAGCCACTACCAACATATTGTCAAAATAGAATTTAAATGATATAAGTGAATCATGAACTCTATAGAGTATGTGCACTTTCATACCATAAATAGTGGCTTCACTTTTTTTTGATGAGTGCCGGGAGAATGCAGGAATATCCCCAAAGACCACGGTCCAGGGCTGACTATTTGATGAGGAGTGATTTGCAGGGCTCATGGATGAGCTTCATTAAAGCTCAGCGGGCCTTGTCTTTGGTCAACAGAGAAATCCCTGTTAAAATACTGTCCAAAGGAAGGGTCCAACGCTCTCGGAAGCAATTAAAACCCATCTTGTTTTTTAAGCAAGGCCACAGAGACCAAATCAAACAGGTCTGTGACCATAAATGAAAACTGAGTCTACACACTACACAGCCATACATGAGCCTGTGTGATCTGATAAGGTGAGCAGCACGTGCACTGGGGGACTGAACTTTGATCATGACAGGATTAAGCTTGAAACTGAAACGTGTGCCTCACACACACACTGACACACTGATCTAGCAGGAAGTTGAAACAGGCTGTGCATTAATGAGTCAGTAACTGGCCAAACTGCATAATGAGAAATAATGAAGATATCAAGGATGAAAAAGACATCGAGAGAGAAAATGTAAAATACCTGTATTTGATAACTTCAGATGACAAAACATCGCTTCAGTCACAGGAACTGTACTGTGGTCAACAGGTGAATACGCTTTTTTTCATCATGGCTTTAACATATTCCTTCGAGGTGGGCAAACACTCTGCATTTCTATTAATCTTTTAATTGCTCTTTTTGCATGGAGAGAGCCTGTGGCCTTTATGCTCACATTGCTCAGTTGACAGATCATGCAGGTGAGTGTTCACACTGAATGTAAAGCATGAAACCCAGCTTTGGTTCTTCAAGGAAAATTACTGCATCTTCAACAACTAGAGTTTTTGCTGTGTCCATCGCATTACATTTAAGACCTTTTAAAAACCTCATAGGACAAAATTTAGTACCTTTCTCATGGTCATACAGGTCAAGGAATGAGAGAAAACCAGTGAGGAATACAAGGTCAACATTGTAGACCTTTACATTACTGTAAATCATGTACAGTCATTTATTGGCACTTACAGTATGTTACATTTTTTCAGTACATCCAAGTTGTAACAGAGTGCAGTAGTAACAAGTCTCTTAAACCTGCAACTGAGTTAGGTTTTTGTGTTTTTACTTCCAGGTTTTTTTGAGTGGGTTTTTGGTTAGATGTTTGAAATGAGGTCTGCAGTTAACACAAGGCCAATACACTTTCACGTTTTGTTCTATGAAATAAAATACATTAGTAAACACCCCACACGGGATTTTTAATGCTATTACGTCTTAAAAAAGGTGATTGCTAAGAAATGGCTAAATGAGACTACAGAGGCTGTCTGGGATATTAACCGTCATCACATCGAAAACGGAGTCTCATCTGCTCACTAGTCCGCCTTTACAGTTTGTTGCACAGTAGTTTGTTTATAGCCTAACAATAGCTCTTTATTCTGTCGATCATACTCAAAAATCATCAAAGTGGTGTTCACTTGTGGTGTTTGTCTTGCTGAACTAAATATGTAATTGTCATTCTGTTTGTCACAGAGCCTAATTTTTGTATTAATCTAATAAAACCCTATGGAAAAATCCTGTTGGCTTTTTGTCGAGGAAAACCAGAGTGATGCAAACTTCTGGGTTAGCCTATGAAAAAGACCATCGCTGTGGTAGTCTAAAGACTGTGATATAATGAATCAATTAAGGTCAAATAGTCACCTAACCCAGATAAGCAATTAAAATGATTAATCAGTTATACATTGGGTACGGAAAGTATTCAGACCCCCTTAAATTTATGTCTATATAAGACCCTACAGCTCACAGTGCATGTCAGAGCAAATGAGAATCATGAGGTCAAAGGAACTGCCTGAAGAGCTCAGAGACAGAATTGTGGCAAGGCACAGATCTGGCCAAGGTTACAAAAAAAATGTCTGCTGCACTTAAGGTTCCTAAGAGCACAGGGGCCTCCATAATCCTTAAATGGAAGACGTTTGGGACGACCAGAACCCTTCCTAGAGCTGGCCGTCCGACCAAACTGAGCTATCGGGGGAGAAGAGCCTCGGTGAGAGAGGTACAGAAGAACCCAAAGATGACTGTAGCTGAGCTCCAGAGATGCAGTCAGGAGATGGGAGAAAGTTGTAGAAAGTCAACCATCACTGCAGCCCCCCACCAGTCGGGGCTTTA